AGATGTCTTTCAGGGCACACAGTTTTTTTGTTTTTCCTTTTCTCCCCCCCCCCCCCCCCCCCAAGATTTTTTGAAGAAACTGGTTTCTTTTGTCCTCACTATTCCTTGTTTATGGTGGGAAGGCTCTAAAGCTGATTTGGTGCTGCTGCGTGCTCTATAATCATTTTCAGTCTGGCTGAGCCATACTTCCCAAAGTACACAATAACATACTTTCCTCCTCTTGAACAAATTGTTTTATTTTAGGCTAGCCTGTGCTTTCTCCTGGGCTTTGCCAGTCCTGTTGCCAAAGGGGCAGACTGTCCTGCTGTGCTTATGGAGAAATGATCTCAGATGTAACGGAATACTGCTCTGAGACTCGGCTTTAGAAATGATCTGAAAGCCACTGGAAGGTGCAGGGCACTGACTGATGTGATGTCCATTTAGCCTCACCTTGCGTTAACACGTTGCTTCCTTGGTCCTGCACACAATCCAGTGTGAACGTTACATGGTTGAGGATGCTGGGAGTAGGATGTTTTTTCCATTCCCTCTGTCTGGCTTCCCTTGGATCAGACATGAGCTAGGTATTCTTTACGCTGTCATTTGAAGTCTTTATTGTACCTTCAATGGCATGTACTGCTTCAGCTGAAATGAAGCTATAAGGACTAGTGTCAAAAGATTATTGATGGTTACAGTGTCAGGGGCGTGCACTGCCCTTTTCAAGTGATACTGAAAAGTAGAAGCAGGCGTGCTCACTGACATAAGTTGTACCATGTTTCCTCGCTCGCTATTGTAGATTTTGGCTGGCAAAATATTTGTCCTCGAGTAGCACCTGTTCTAGCCCTTCATGTTCAGCACACTGAACTATTTTTTTTGGATCCAAAGTCATTTCGTGCTATTGTAGTGGTATCTGTCGTTGTTGTTTTTCAGCCTAGCATTGCATTTTAATAGGGATGAGTAACCCATGTGTGTATAAGGGTGAACCCATTTATACTCGTGTCTAGAACATTTCCTCGCAGTCCCTTTTCTCTGCATAAGTGAAGTAACTTTACAGTGTTAGACCTCTCTCTTCTAAAAGATGTATTTTCTTTGGCCTTTCTCTGAATATAATCTTTTTAGGTCAGGGTTTATTTTCTATGGGACCTATAAAAGAGTAAATTCATGTTACAGTGCAGCACAGACATGTTGGCAGTAAAATCAGCAGTGAAGATAGTAGTCTGTTTAAAATTGGAAACCTGTTGCTTTGATATACTTGGTTTGAGCCATCTGGATATGTTATTCGACTGTCCCATTATTTCTCATGTGGAGGAAGGAGCCAAGATCTTTGGTTGTTTGATGGACATTGAGAGACAGCTGAGAGATTAAATCTGCCTTTCACAGAGCATTCCAGCTCCCTGTGCTGTTAGGAAACCATATGCTCGGTACATCACCAATTCACTTCAGAAGCAAGACTGTCATAAACACTGTGTATTTCTTGTGGTGTGGGCTGAAGGCACACACTGATCAGGTGTGTCAGCGACAGTAGTCGTGCTCTTCCTCCCCTTCTTTTCCCTCACCCCTTACTTCTTGGTCCTACAAATACTCTTTCATAAGACTTTTTTTTTTTTCCCCCTCCTCCTTCCCTAGGGAGAAAAATCTGCATCTGTCTCTTGCCCACTGTGTCACGCCCCTGATTTGGCAGTGCACATGTTAACACCAGTGCTATTTTCTTTCCATGACAACCTTAAATGCAAACCCTGCTCTGTTCTGGTATAAAAAATGACAGCTTTTCTTCATCTTCAGGATTTAGCAAAAAAGACAGCTCTTCTGGCAGTGGTGGAAACTTCTCCGTTGTTCTGTTAGATTTGTCCTGGTTCCTCAGTCCTCCTAGAGTGACTTGCTGTCCAGGTGTGCCTGCTTCTGTCACATCCTCTGCATCTTGGATGTGTAGTTTACTTTGTCATCAGATGGAGCTGTCTGTTGTTTGTCTAGAACAGAATCTATGGCGTTGCAGCTCTTCTCAGGAGCTTCATCAATAATGCAGGTAGAAACATGGAGAGATTTAAAATTGAAAGAAACTTAGCTAATTGCCTTTGTCATTTGCTGGATTTGGGTAAAAGATTATAATCTCAGTCAATAAAAATGATACTCTTGGCAGGTGCCTTATAAAGTGTGAGCTTCTTTGCAGTATGCAGGCAGCAGGAAACCTAGACTGTGCAAAGCCTCTGTTCAGCAGAGGAACTAAGCAGCAGTTTTTTACTTAAAATACTCCATAAGAACAGCTTTAATGCGTGAAACATGAAAAACTAGATAAAAATGATGAACGTTATAGCATTATGATGATGTCATGTATATTTCCAACGGGCAGCACAGGAGGGATTTGGATGTAGAGTAGATGATACGGCCCCAAATACTGCTCTGTCCCTGTGTACTGCTCCACCCCCTGCCCCTAGCAGCACCCTGCTCCTTGTGCTCCTTTCTGGGATGCTGCTTATACTAATTTCCCCCAGTCCATAGTCCTGCCTCTGTCCGGCAGCATAGCCCGGTCTATTTATGTTACAGATCTATTTATATTGTGTCAGGATAACTTTCATCATTGTTCCAAGTACATCTGGAAAGAGAGACGGAGGCTTGCCATGTGGCTGCAGACGTTAGGAAACAGGGGAAAAAAATACTCATCCTCTGCAAAGGTTTTTTCCCCTCTTGGCCTGTGGGGCTGGTGCTTCATTTAACTTCAAATGTCAAATAGAGGGGGACTGGTTGAAGAGAAATTGTCCTTAATTTATGGAGTTTCTTGTAAACAAGAATCAACTTCTCAGTTCCCCTTTGCTTCCTTCTTATGTTTTCTTCCTGCGCTGGTCAGGGAGAACTTCCTCTTATCTCTCTGCTCTAAAGACATCGTCTGTCAACCCTTTTTCTTCCTACTCTAGTGTTGCAACTTAGGTCTGGTGGTATCTTACCTCTGTTTTCTTTGTTAGCCTTTTCTGTCTCTCAGAAAGCAAAGGAAGCAGAAGCTTTTGCAGGTGAGTCTCTTCAGCAGAGCCAACGATACAGATTGCAAGTCAGACTTTTTGTGATATGAGCATAAAGCCACTGATCAGAGTGTTTTTCAGTTGGCATTGGGGCAGATCTTTAAAAACTTAATTTCTGAGCCTCCTTCCTGGATCATTAGAAAACTACTACCCTGGATTAAAACATAGCACTTCCATTTTTATGTGAATGTGTCTTCTCTGGGGGAAGCTATTAGTTTCAAACTGTGGGTTTTAATGAGACATTTATCTCCAAATGCCTTCTGGAATAGTTGTCTCCAGTTCCCCAATGTCACATCACAGAGAAGATACTCATTGCCGTGAAATGCAGGTATCCATGGAGCGGAAATCTGTAGCTATGTAGTGCACCTCAGCTGTGACCTGGGGATTTGGCCAGTGATATGCTGAAATGCAGCACACGGATTTGAATAGTTGCATAGCCTTAGCCCTCATGGTGTAAGTGAGGCAAGGTTCATCAGAAGTCATGCTTTAAGCATGTTTCTGGCCCAATGGGCTTGAAGCAGAAGAGGGTAATCTTAAAGCAAATTTCAAGGTAAGACTGCTGCTCTGAGATTAATATTACTTCTGGATAAAGGTTTTTAATTTTGTAATGCCTTCCACCTAAAAAAAAAACAACATTAGCCAGTGGAAGCATGAACCACTGTATGAATAACTGAAAGCTGCTGACAGTATGTTTCCTTTCCTTACCTTTCCCTGATCCCCAGGGGTGCTGCTGAAGTGGATGATTTGGGAGAGGAGCACACTGGCATCTGAGGAGAAGGGTCTAAAGGCAAGGGAAGAAGATAACAGAGAATAACCTTATAGGACTAGAGGGAGAGAGAGAAAACTTTGACTTCCAGAACACAGAGAGGTTAACTAGGAGACAGAATTGTAATATGTCGTTAAAACCAGAACAGACATAGTACCCAGGCTTCTCTTCTGCAAGTATTTCATTGCTTTCTCTTGAGGACCAGAACTGAACTAGTGTCTGCACTAACTGCTGTTCCCTGAATTCAGATTTATTGGTTGCTTTGATCTAAGAATTCAGCAGACTCAGAAGTTTTATTCCTCGTGCTTGACTATTCCCAAGACTTCCAGTGGTTCCAACTTTATTGCAAGTTTCACAATATTTGATATTTTCCGTAAAAGTTCAGCTCCAGAGTTCTAGGATTACAAGAAAATCCTTATTTAAAATTGTTCCTACACTTCAAAGTTGGAGGCAGGGAGCATGTGAAAGCATAAACATTACATTTGAAACAGAAAAAACAAAAAGGCAAATAACTGCATTTTTCATATTATTCTTAATCTGTTCTAATTATTTGCTGAGGGTCTGACTCATGATTTATTTGCCATTCGATACTGAAAATTGACATGCTCAGTGGTGTGTTTTGTTGTTTTTCTTTTTTTCGTGACCACCCAGAATCTCCTTATCCGCTCTGTAAAAAGAGGCCTCCAGTGTCATTGACCAGATGTTTCTTACATATACTGACTTTTTGCATAGTGTCAAAATGTTTGATACTTCAGCCAGCAGGGCAGTGTCAGGGTCAGAGATAATGTTGTGTACACTGTTCAGCCTCAGGGTTTTTTGGTTTGTGGAGGTTTTGTTTGTTTGTTTGTTTTCTTCCCCCAACTTGCCCTGCCTGACCCCTACTGCTCCTGTTCATGTTGAATTAAAAACATGAAGATACTCAGAGTACTGAGAAGAAGGTTGTGTGGATGTTTGTTAGGGACTTGTTATTAACCAAGCAAATCGATACAACAGAAATAGCGAGTGGCTGGAAGACACTGTGTTGTGTGGCACCACTCAGTGTTCAGACAGTGAGAAATTACTCTGAGTAGTCACGCCAAATAAACGGGTAGAAAGATGTATTGTTAGAAATGGAAATATGCCCTGTGCCAGGTATGCATCTGGGGAGCCAAACAGCTCCTCCTCCACAATCCCCTTGATTTCAGGTTTTGGTTTTTGGCAGTTCATCCTTGTGATCTTGTCCCTTTCCCTCACCCCTTCTTCACATCATGTTTCAACAGATCTGGTGGTTGGATCCAGAACTGACGTATGGCAATGCCAAGCCATTTGTCTTCACGCAGGGCCACTCAGTGTGTAACCGGTCTTTCTTCCCCTGCTTTGACACACCGGCAGTGAAGTGTACCTATTCAGCTACTGTCAAGGTAAGCGACCAAATGGATATAAATGGTTCATGGAGCACTTAGCTGCTGTTAACTTGTGAAAGCATAGTTACATTGTATGTGGGTATATGATATAAAATATTCATTGTGACACTTAGTGTTATAAAAAATACGGGATTTTTTAGATCCCATTCTTGAAACAGAACCAGGGTACTGCCACAAAGGCAACTCTGTTGCCTATCACGCTTGGGTCTTGCCTTCCCCGTACTCAACATTGAAAGAGTAACGATGAAATGGATAATATGAAAGAGAGAATTTGGCTGGTCACTTCCAGTAGTGGTTATTGATGCTAATACTCAACTGTATTTTGTCAGTTCTTGAAAGGAAGAAACCAAAGTTTTCGGAAAGCAGCATCAAATAATATTGCATTTTGTGTAGGTGAAGTAATGTGATATGTGGGCACTTTTGGGGGAGCTGGCATAAGAACCCATGCAATATAGGAGGAGTGATATTTTTGGTTGGTACGTTTTCATGGGCTCGGTAGATTTTGGTATAAAAATCCCGCAGAAGTCTTACATTTTGTGTTATCTAAATGATTGTTTTTAATGTACATCCTCTTAGGCATAGATGGAAAAAAAAAAAACCCAGAGAGATCTGCGGTGTAGTCATTCAGCTGTGATCATCTAGTGAGTTGATGTGTATGATGTTGGTCTTCCAGGCTCCAGCAGGCATACAGGTGTTGATGAGTGCCACCCAAAGCACCTACCTAGAAGAGGAAGGTGTATATCAATTTTACATGGAATATCCAGTTCCTGCCTACCTAGTGGCCCTGGTGGCAGGAGACCTTACACATGCAGACATAGGTCCAAGGTAAGATTTGCAGTGAGTTGATCTGCTTTTTGTGTCTCTGTGCAGTGCTTCAAGTTGTAAGTGCTAAATACTTTGAGTCACAGATAACAGAATAGTTGGGACCATGAGCTGTGAGTGTTCAGAGTTTGAGGTTTAGTTGTGTGTAAAGAACTGCACTGGCAAAGATATCTTTCTCTTTCGTAAATGTTGCTTATTGTCCCCTGTAGTCATTACAGCTACTTGCCTCATTGCCTTAAGGTGATTTAAAGGATCTTTGATTATCTTTTGTCATGTACCCATAGAGTGTTACCCTAAAGAAGACCTGAGTCTGATGTGAGACCTCTTAGCACTATTGCCATACATGAAAGTGTGGTGAGAAGTCAGGCTGTTTTTTCTAAGAGATAATTCTGTTTGCTGAAGTATCACCTGATGTTTTCTGTTTTCTGACAGGAGCAGAGTGTGGGCAGAGCCTTGCCTGCTGCCAACAGCCATCAGTAAGCTTTCTGGCATGGTTGAGCGCTGGTTGACTGCTGCAGAGAGTCTGTATGGCCCATATATATGGGGAAGGTGAGTTTAATAAGTCTCCCAGGAATGTTTAATGGGAACAAAATAAAACAATCTTGAGAAATTATCATGTTTTCTCCCTACGCTAGCAATAGCAGGACAAATGAGCCCCTCAACTGGCAGTGCTGTAGTAGTTGGAAACACACTCTTAAATTTTGTCTCTTCAAGTGGCAGAGAGGACCGTGGAAGCACGGTGGTGTTTTTGCCTGGTGTCGTGGGCAGAACTGGAGGTTTCTAAACAGTGGCTCTTCCCTGAGGAGTGAAGATTTTTCATACTATAGTGTTTTGTGATGCAAGTCCAACATTGGGCTGGACACCATTTAAAATGTATGGTAGTTTTATTTATTTATCTTATTTATTTTTACATATGGTACTTGACATATGATATGTTTATTGTGGTATGCCTGAGGATGCTGAAAACCTGACTCAGTACAGACTCACTGAGAGTCCTAGTTCCTAGAAACAACATTAACAGTTTCTGAAGTTAAGCTTGACTATGTATTAAAAGAGAATGTTTTCGTGAGAATGCTTTCATTCTTTGGATGGGAGAAAATGTTTACAAAGGCTTCCTATATTTTTTTGCTAAAGGTAAGCAGTAAGAACATGGTGGTGGTGTTAACTTACAAAATGTTGCTTGAAATAATCTGAGAACACAGCCCAGTGTTCCAGTGCTGATCATTGGTGGAGAAATTTAGAAAACAAAACAAATAGTATTGTTACATTCTGAAGCAGACAGGCTAGAGTAATTTTGCTGATACTGCAGGTGCCCCAAATCAATTAATTCATTCAATAGCTTCCTAGCCTCTCTCTTTCCTGAGAGCCTCTGGGGACTCAAGACTCGACACTGTGTATGTGGTAGTGTATGTAAACTTAGTGGTTCTGGCTCTCGGATATGCAACTTGTGATGAGTTTGCATGTGTGAAGGGAGCATGATGCTTCTGGGAAGTGCTGGATCTGCTGCACATGAAAAGACTGTCTAGTCTTTATGTCCAAATGTGAGCAGGTCCTTGGCCAACAGAATAAACTCTGTTATCCCCTGATCAGAAGAATTAGGCACCATTGGTCTAGAAAGTTTGTTCGTGAAGTCATAAAAAAGTCTCAGAAGAGCCTTCCCGGAAAAAAAAAAAAAGAAGTTACTCTGTGTGTCTTTTGAAATAGCTGTAATTGACCTATCTTCTTTCTCCCTAATTTTAGATATGACATTGTTTTTCTTCCTCCATCCTTCCCTATTGTTGCCATGGAAAATCCATGCCTGACCTTCATCATCTCTTCCATTCTGGAGAGCGATGAGTTTTTGATCATTGACGTCATACATGAAGTTGCTCACAGCTGGTTTGGAAACGCAGTCACCAATGCTACATGGGAGGAGATGTGGCTGAGCGAGGGGCTAGCCACATATGCACAGCGCCGGATCACCACTGAGACCTATGGTATAGCTGCAGAAATGCTTCTCCTTGTGATGCATCTAACCAATAATTGAGTTGGCTGCATAGAGTATTTGCCTTGGGAGCTCAAAAGTCTGTAGGGAGCTGGTTTTCTTTTTTTGCTTCTGAAACACACATGGCCCCAAACTTTACATTGAACATCATCTTAGATGCTTAGAGTCTGACGTCTTGGCTTTGGGTGGAATCAATACCTGATACAGTAATAGGGGCTTTGAGTGAGGTGTGTTAGTGCAGCGTTGTAAGGACATTTGTAGGAACTTTGGAACTACTGTTGGGTACCAGGCAGGTGTTCATATGTCCGAGCAAGGTGAGCAGAGGATGCTTCAGAGAAAGATGTAAGAAATCTTATCATGGTTACATTGTGAAATAACCATCCTGTGGACAAGTGTCTTTCTAATCCTAATCAGTTAGTAGCTACCTACTCTTGGAAAGAATGATGACAACAGTACTTAGAAAAAAAATGTACACAGCTATGTAGCTGTCTGTTTATCTGCTTGAGGCTTGCTGTAGAATTTTACAGCCCTGCCTTTGCTTACATCAGTGAATTTCACAGGTCAGTTGTGTGGTCCTGTCTTTAGAATATAAGTAGTAAATCATTCCTATTGCTTTTCAGTTTAATTGGATTTTTACAGAAGTGAATAATGGGAACCTAGGCTTCTCTAGTTTGTCCTGTTATGTTCTTAAAAGCCTGTACCATGTGTGTTCTCCTGTGTCTGCTGTAAACAATTGTGGAAAGATTCTTGGAAATCTTGGCAGCGAGAGTGCTCAGAAGGATGCCTTTGTTTTTATTCATGTATATTGTTTTTGGAGATGAG